GCTCTTTCTTAAATTGACAATGTTTTCTTCACTACATTCCCGAAATAACCCTAATGGCTGCAACACTTTATCCTGTTATTTTCTTATGTTCTCATCTCAACAGCCTTTCCTAATCTATGTTGAAACCCAAAATTTATCTCTTGACAATTGTATTGGAGTGCCACTTATAGTAATTTAAGACTTTTTACCTATAGCCAAACCTGGGGGAGGCTTTGTTTCTCCCACTGCTTTATTGAATCCGGCACAGGGTTTCTTGGTACAGTTAAATCTCAAGACCATCAAAGTATTCTGGAGGGAAGTGTGCTGCCCAGTGTCGAAAAGATTGGTCTCAGCTGCAGCTCATGTGTACTCCAACTGGATAATGGCCCAAAATGCACACCTACAAATACTCAATAGTGGCTAAAAACAAAACATTGGATGATTGTGTCCTAAAAAAAAATATTAAAAAACTAATCTCAGTTCTGTTATGTGGAAGGATCTGAAACATGCAATCTAGAGAATACATACATAAACATTGAAATATTCTGTTGGACTAAAACCGGATTTTCAATAGTTAACGTTCACTACGTTTTACTTTATTATGACTTTTGTCAGTTATTTCGGTGGGCATTGTGGATTTTTCTTTCTGTGACCGGAGGGTAGTAACTTTTTTAATCCTGTGTGTAATTTCTCATTGTGCATGTGACAGAGCTCTTCCTTTCACTCGTAATTATAATACAATTTGCGAAACATATACATATGGATTTTGTGTTCAGTAAAGTGCTGTGTATTAATACGGTACAATATGTAGGCTGAGGATGAATATCAAGAATATTGCTACTTTAAGTAATGTACTGTTAGTTTTGGTCAGTATCCTTCTTGGATTAAGACTTCCACTCACCAGATTGTGTGCTTGATGGAGTCAATGATTAACTTTGTTCAAGGTTTAATTTGTTGGAAGGCTGATCAAGCGACAGTTTTATTTGTCCCCTTAAACGCCTTAGATCATTGTGTCAGCTCACATCATCACTTGACTCTGTGGATGATTTATAAATGACAGGATCCTCCCTCTGACCATGAATCATGATTTTCCCATTGGTTCACATTCAAGTCAAAGAAATTCAGGTGTCACCACCGTGCATGTCATTCAATGGGTTTTGTGTGGTCAGTTTGAGAAGTTAGAACAATGTAGTGAGTTCTGTGCCTGCTTGGGTTTTCTCCGGGTACTCCGGTTTCCTCCCACATTCCAAAAACATGCAGGGTAGGTTAATGGAACAAATTGTCTCTAGGTGTGATTGTGAGTGTGAATGGTTGTTTGTCTATGTTGGCCTTGCGATTGGCTGGCAACCAGTTCAGGGTGTACCCCCGCCTACTGCCCGAAGTTAGCTGGAATAGGCTCCAGCATGCCCGAAACCTTCGTGACAATAAATCAGTTTGGATAATGGATGGATGGATAGCTCAGGCAAGGCAAGGCAGCTTTATGCATATTGCGCATTTCATACATAAGGTCAAAGTGTTTCATATAATTATATATTTAAGAGCATTTACAAAAAACAGTTAAAAGACACTCAAAAGCAAAGTAAATAAAAAGTATCTTAGTTAAATTATTAATTACACCGGTCAACAAATGTTGACTTAATTCTTTAATCTGAGATCCAAGTAGACTTTTCTAGATTATTATTTGATTTTTTTTGGTGCTGTTTCTGAATCTGCCCTTGTTTTTTCTCTATCGGACATCAGGTTATCATAATAATCATTTATAATGTGTAATATATGACTATATTTATGAATGAATGGATATGTTATGCTACAGTTGGACTTTTTGTCTCAAATGTCATAGCTATAAAGTGCAACACATGGTAAAATCTGGAGTGTGCAAGTTATTATAGGCCAAACTGAAAAAAAAAAATGAAAATACCTCAAAACCCTGATGTGCAACCTAAGAAGTAAAAATATTTTCAAAAAAAGTGTCGGAAAATACATCTAGGACACATCAAGCAATGTGAGCATGACATCATCATCATGTGCTTTGATGTGATGACACATCCAGAATCCTATGGGTGCGGTAAAGTCCATTGACCTGCTGGACACAGTAACTTCTAATGATAGTCTTGTACGTCATCTGGTTCTGGTTCAAGACTTTTTTCACAGTTAGCCGATGAGTCACAGTGCAGAAGTCTGATAAACGGCTCTGCTTGGATTACTTGAATGGAGCTCTGTAGATTCAGACTTAGGTTCCCTTTTTAGTCTTTCCTAACATCTGGTCCATTGCTCGCAGTAAGTGAATGGGTTTCCTGTCGACAGAAGTATTTTGCGATACTCCAAGTTTCTCATCTTGCATGCCCCCCCCCAAAAAAAAAATAAAAATCACAGTGCTATTTGACTCGGCTGCAGATAGGAAGTAGGAAGTCTGCTTTGCAAGAACTATCTCAAACGGCTCATTTAATCTTAATCTAAGGTGCACCTGGACCTTTTATGGTACTTTTCTTTTCCATCCTAAAAACAGCTCCTGGGGTGTTAATAGACATTTCACATAGTGGGGGGATGAACGTGCTACAGCTCTGCATCTGCTCTTGATGCTCAGTCATTATGTAAGCATTCACCGCACATTCAAAGTCAAAACCAGACGCTTGGCTGTTTTTTTTAAGATCAACTAGGGTCTATTCCTTATTAGGAAGCATTGATTCTTGCCCAAGAGGCGAACGGATGCAGCGCTGTATGCTGACCCCGAGAGAAATGAGAGGCTGATATTATGACATGAGCTTATTTGGACTTCCACCAGTGGAGCCAAATTGGCCTGCAGGAAGTAGATAAATCTTGGAATATGGAATAAGATTACTGTATGAACTTCTAAATCCTTTTGATGGCCTTCATCAAAAATAAACAGTATCTTTGCCATTGCCCGAGCAATACCAATACTGTATGATACTCTCACGATCCTTAAGGGGGATATATTATGGAGAAATAACTTTTTAGTGTTTGTATTTCCCGTAGTGTCATCAGAGGGCAGAGCAGTGGCTTGCATGTGTGCTTCATAGTTCTGACATTAGGGGTTTAAATCTCAGCTCTGGCCTTCCATGTTTCCTCCTTGCGTGGGTTTTCTCAGACTACTCTGCCTTCTTCCCACATTCCGAAAACAAGTTAAATTTGTTATAGGTTCATTGAAGGCTCAAACCTGTCTGTAGGTGTGAATGGTGAATGATTTTTGCCAATATTTGCCAAGCGAATGGCTGGCGACCAGACCATGGTATATCCTGCCTCTCACCCAACGTCACCTGGCATCATTCCTAATGAGGACAAGCACCATAGAAAATGGATGCTTAGTGCCACAAGAGTAAATAAGTTACGTCGTTATCTAAGGGGGAACCCTGGAGCAATTAATGGCAAAGTATTTTGGCACATTTTAAATGGGTTTAAAACAAATATTGTTTTTGCTTTTTGTGAGATAGAGTGTGGTTCCAGGAAGACATTATTTTCTGCAAATGCCAGTACATTACTCATGTGGTCATGGGCCTTCAGCCGCAATCTGCTGAGAGTGACGCTGCACTGTGTCCAACACATTAAGCGATGTATTTTGTGTGCATTGTTTTCTGTTGAACAGATAATGAGCTGGCTGTCATTGTTTTGGGCAATGAAAATCCATCTGTCATCACCAAGCAGAAATGTTATTAAAAAAAAAAAAAAAAAGGAACCAAGTTTATTAAGAAACAATGAGCCTGATAGACTGACATTGTTGTCCAGAAAGAAAAAAAAAACATTGGACTCAGGCGTTCTGTGCTGCCCATAGCTGGTTTCACATACTTGACCACAGTCCTGAAAGCTGCAAATTCCATACGGAAAACTCATCAGTGAAAACTTTGTCGGACAGCCCCCAACCAGCCTGTTGTGTTTCCACACACATGGACTTTCTTACCCCATTTGCGTCATTTTACACTAGAACAGTCAATTGTCAATGAACTCCGTATATCAACCCTGGTCTTGCCTTCTATAAAGCCTCTCTATGTTGTGCAGTGCTGACACCAGTACCAGTGTCGTCTGAGAAAGAACGACACTTCTACCAAAGCAAATGTTGTCATCACTTGGACAGGAATGATGCCATTCAGGGGTCACGCATTGTCCGCTGTGGACGATTGCCTGTCTGCTTCATTCCCACCACAGCATGTGATCATGAGACAAAATCTTAAATATAAGAGCGGGAGTTGATTATAGTTAATGTTTTCAGGAGCTGACCCGCTTTATCAGTCCAACACTGTAGGACCGGGAACAGATGTGAGTCACAGTCATTGTGGGTGGATTTTTCCCAAGCAACAAGAAAAGTGGGTGATGCTAAATTTCCTCTGGAATACTGGGGCGCTAGATAATGGAACACTGTTAACTCTGACTGGATGTAAAACTTGATTTATGATGACTCCCCAGTCAAAAGGTTAAGGGTTAAAAAGACCTGATTCTACTACCAAAAATTTAGTGCATCTGAAGAGATACAAAATTGAATGCACGGCGTTTCTGGGTGGATCACTTCAACAGTTCGTACATTTCCAGTGACAAATCAGACAGAACAACTCTACACTATTGCACTCTCTGCCACGGAGCAATAACAAAGAACAAAATGATAAAACAATTTCTGTTCTTTACTTAGAGGCGACTGAGGCCCTGTGATGTCACATGTCACAACATGGCAGCATTATCAAGTGTCAGACAACTTCGGATTTCTAGTTGATTTAAAAGTTGGATTGTAAGGACAACAACAACAAAAAACATTTCTGGCAAAATTTGTAATACTTGAAGTGCATCAAATTGATCTTCTGTTTACTTTTTTTTTATTTGAAGCTAATAGTTTCACATGAAAAGGGTCTCCATCCTGTCCCCTCTCATTTGAGGATATCAGCGTTGCCTCCTGTGTATTGCACAAAAGAAAGCAAAACGCAAATAAAAGACTCATCTGATGATAATATCGCTTTTTAGTGCAGGAATGTATGCTTTGTTGTGTTTATTGACATTTTTTGGTGTGTGTTTATCTGCAGCTACTTTGGGAGAGACTCTGCCCCACAAGAACCAACAAGTGAGCACATGCAGTCACAGGTAAAATGTAAAACTTGTTGATGTTAAAGATATTTAGGACATGACATTAACAAAGTGTCCAAACCTTTGACTACTGTATTTTTTTGGGAAAAAAACATTCTCAATCAAGCTCTTTCACAATTCCTCGAGAACATTAGAATACAAAAAAAATAGGTCCCTCCATTAGATACACCTGCCCAGTCATATGAGCTGCTATGCTGGCAATAAAGATGACAATAAAAACACAAAATGTGATTCAATACAGTTGTCGACCACTGCAAACTATGAATGTGACCACCATTACCTGAAGCACATTTTTATTTGAGTTGTTGAATTGCATCCCATCGCATTGTGCCGAATGTTATGGCGCCACAATGAAGCTATGGCGCTTTCTCATGACCCCCAGCAACCACACACACGGAGAGCAAAGCATCTGATTCAAAAGTTCGAATCATAGAGTCAGACTGACCATCGTTAGGCAGCAGTAAAAAGATCACCACGGCGACCGTAAGACGACAGCTAGCTTGTTGGACCGAGGTTGACATCAGTGACCCCTTCTCAACCCCTCGTGCCAAGTTCCACCCCTTGGCCGCAGGATGAGGGGCGGCCTGGTGAATAGGGAGTTAATAGGCACATAATGGTCCTCTCCTGTTTCTGTGCCCCCGCTCTGCACCTTCAATGAGTTCTTTCTGCACTTGTCTCACAATGAGATGATGAAGTGGGTGGAACGCCACCGCTCACTAGTCCTGCTTTAAATAAATTAGGGGACTTTTAACCCAATGCCGTTCCATTGTTGTCTAGGGAATAGTTCAACCTCCCGTTTTTTTTAAAAAAATTTTTTTTTTTTACCCAGAGCTAACTGGAGGACATGGCAGGGACAAAGTTCACTCATTGTCTTTCTTCATGAATATAGTTCTCATTTCCATTTTTTTTTCTAATTATGGCAGTTTGTTGAAGACGTTGGCTGTCCAAATGGCTTCCCCAGGGAGCCTGGTGGTCCTTCCACTCAGCACATCATAACATCTCCAGACCTAACCAAAGAGGTGGTCATCTCCCCTGGATTGCCAACTCCTCCTCTCAGCCCCCTCCGATCATCCAGGTTTCCTTCTGGAGAGTTCAGGGTATGTCCTGAAATGGCAGGAAAGCTTTCTTCTCTCAGGACAAGTGCCCCTTCATGTGGACAAATTTAGCATTACAGTTTTTATTCGTGGCTGACAGTGCTTTTTGTACCAGAACCTTCAGTGTCGACTTCCTCTTAATGCCATCACAACCATCTCACAACTAAAATGTAACTGAAATATATATCACAGATCGCTGTTTTGCAAGTCAAATTTGGGTGCAACAAGTTTTGCATCGACCAACTAATTGAAATGAAAAAATGCTGAGGTCATTGGCCCTGTGAGGGGAAAAACTTGAAATCTTTCATTCATTTTACGATCCGCTTATCCTCACAAGGGTCGCGGGGGCTGCTGGAGCCTATCCCAGCTGTCTTCAGGCAGTAGGCGGGGGACACCCTGAACCGGTTGCCAGCCAATCGCAGGGCACACAGAGACAAACAACCATCCGCGCTCACACTCACACCTAGGGACAATTTAGAGTGTTCAATCAGCCTGTCATGCATGTTTTTGGAATGTGGGAGGAAACCGGAGTACCCGGAGAAAACCCACACAGGCCCGGGCAGAACATGCAAACACCACACAGGGAGGCCAGAGCTGGAATTGAACCCGGTACCTCTGCATTGTGAGGTCGACGCGCGAACCACTTGATCACCGGGCCGCCGAAACTTGAAATCTGATTATTAAAAGTAACAGTCCCATTGATCATATAAGTTATGTTACATTGGCCTGTGCTACTGATTCTGAAGGCTGCGGGCATATTAAATAAACAGCAAAGAAGGGCTGAGTTCTGATTGGACAAAAAAAAAGAAATTCACATAGAAATACGCAACAAAAAGAACAGAATGGATTATTGGGAGATTTAATAACATTTCATGGAGCAGATATTACAATTTAGGGCGTAAATGTAGGTCAGTGTTTCTGATTGTGTTTAGGCCAGCAGTGAGGGCCTTGCTGGCCTCTTCTCTTCTCTTCTCTTCTCTTCTCTTCTCTTCTACTTGCATGTTCACCCACAATGATTATTCAGCTGAGAGAACTGAGCAGTAGAGTAGACTCAAACAAATTTGTGACGTGTACGTACATTTTTTTATATTTCAACTCATGTATTGTTCTTAAATGGGTGACTGATGGTGTTATGGAACGACACAAAAGCCTTATTCACACTGATGAATCTCTGTCTTTCTCAAGGCATCTGATGTCAATGGAAGTGGCCCAACTACTCCCAGCTTTGGATCCTATTATGGCCCCTCACATGGTAAAATTCAGCCTTATTTTGGGGGCAGATGGATGGAAATACCATTCTACATTCAACAAAACTAACAAGATGAGCTGACAGCATTGGTGAAAGTTTTAATCCAGTAATAACATGGCAATTGTCACCCAGGAGGGCTTACCAATGGGGTTCAGCCTCCTTCCACAAGTGAGGAAAGACTCATCAAATTCTCAGGAATTGGCCCAGTGGATGAAACGGGGATGCCCATTGCCTCCAGATCCGTAAGAATAAAGAAACATTTTAAAAGACATCTCTCTTTTTATTTTCTTAGTTTTGCTTACAATCCCTCTATTGAGTAGCTCAAATATCTTTTTACCCTCCCGACCTCCTTTCTTTTTCTTCCACCAGAGTGTAAACAAGCCCAGAGACTGGTACAAGAGCATGTTCAAACAAATACATAAGAAGCCAGAAGGTATGATTGCTCTGCCTCCTTCTCTTCATACGCTCGCCATTGACAGAACAGGGACACACAATACATGTCATGGTGACACGTTTGATATTTTAATAATGATCATTGTAATTATTATGATCATTATCATTGCCCTCTGCATTTCTGGCACCATTAACAATCAATCCATCCATATTTGAGCCGCTTCTCCTCATGAGGGTCGCGGGCATGCTGGAGCCTATCCCAGCTGTCTACAAGCAGTCGGCAGGCTACGCCCTGAACTGGTTGTCAGCCAATCGCAGTGCCATTAACAAAACAATCAAGAAAAGATGAAGCAGAAGTTCTGCTCATATCACAAGCCACAACGGTGATGTCTTTGTCATGATTTTAGATAGGAACCAATGATGTCTGATCTTTTTTTTTTTTTTTTGAGCAGAGTGTGAGCAGGAGGAATCAGACAAGTGGTCGGCTAGATGTAAGTGTTTCTTCTTCTCCTAGGATTGGTCATTTGACTAGATTTTCTTCCTTAGCATTGGGGAAAATTATACATTATTTAATCAAGTCATTGTAACTTTTCAAAATATTTTTTTCATGCTTTTCGAAAACTTCCCTAAAAATTCTGATCTCGTCTTTCAGTCCGAGCTGGAGTGGATGTCTTTGTGGATGTTGCTCAACTTCCCATAGCTGATTTTATGTTGCAAGCTAGTTGAGGCTACCAATGTCTCAGCACCTCTGTTGGCTGCATCCAGCCAAATCGTGCACTTCACTTTCTTCAAAATTCAAGACGTTTTTAACAACGCAATCAATAATTCTTGAATCATTTAAATGATTATCATGCCCATCTGTAGCTTCTACTAAAATAAACATTGTTTTCAATGATTGTAACATTTTTCTTTCAATCATGTCATATATTTAAAAAAAACAAAAATAACAATTACATGTATTCTCAGGCAAGAGGGCCACTACAAGCACAGAGGATGAAGAAGCCAACCAATATCTCTTCAGGCTATCACCGCATGGAGCCTTGCCTGACTGGTAAGCTGATTCCCACTGACGCCACAAACAGCTGAGCATATTCTTGTATGCACTGGAGAGCATCGAGTGCACACATAATCATTGCCAATTATAAGCCTATCTGCATATTGTAACTGAATCCAGGGGCCCTACACTGTGGGACCTCTTTGAAGCAGACCAATTCTTAGCCTTTAAAAAAATAATTAAAATAGCCGCACAAAGCAGCGCAAGTCACAACCCAACCTCCGTTGAGCCAATTAATTTACAAGCAATTTCTGAATGGGTTTCTGTGGGATTCGAAATGTGGCCGCTTTCTCCGAATTCACTGTAACACGCCTCATGTTAAAGAAAGCCAACGATCGTGTCTGGACTAGGCGGTGGGGTGGGCTGCAAGTTGGGATTTGTTGTTCCAGCACTTACAATAAGGCAGTGATTAAGTTGCTGCCCATGGTGGTTGTGTGTTTGCACATCCACTTGGGTGTCATGTTTCAGGAGCCAAGATGTCAATGAGCTGTCAGTTGCAGGGAAGCAGAAGCCTCAACCCAAGAGCATATTTGACTTTGAGCCCGAAAAAGGTGTTTCTTCAGTAAGCCTTGGCCAGGTACAAAGTCTCACACGTTTAAAAATTGTTTCTGTAACCAGCTTACCACTTTGTACATTTTCTGCCACGTTCTTTCATGGTCTGGTACTGTTTTGGCGTTCTTGTCACAACAAGCTAATGAGTAACTTGTGGTTATCCAACAGATCTTTTCAAAAGCTGTTGTTCAGTTCCATATTCATGATCTTAGCATTTCCGCTCGGGTTTATATTTAGTGTTGTTCAGGATAAGTCTTTTCTACAAGGACCGCAGGGAATTTGTCCTCTTTAAAAGCAACAATCCTCCGAATTTAGTGCATGTAGAACCCTGTGTATGCATTCATGACTAGAATAAATATTTATTCACACACACATTCACATACACACTCCACAGGAGCTGAAGTGTCTTGTGATTTGTGTTGTGGTGTGAACCTTTTGAGGTGCAGCATAAGAGTGTCTCAGACAAACTGTGCACAGACCAATGTCGGGGGCTTTACAGTGACTTTATGGTCTGTGAATGGAATGAGAATGAAAGGAAGGCCTTGGCATACCATTTGGAAAGAAGTTGCTGCTTCCTGCCAGCAGAGATTTATTGTAACACGACAGTATTGGAAACAGAAGGAAATTGGACTTTCTTGTTAAACTGTATTGAGTTTGCAAGTGGGATTCAGTTATTTTCACTTGTTAAGGGAAAATGAATAGCAGTTTTATGAATCACAACATAAACTACTTTTAACAGCACCAAATGTGCGTTTATCTGTGTTACAGTCAGCACTAAGCAGTTTGTTTTTTTTTACATACAGTATGTATTATTGTTAAGTATATATTTTAAATAACGTGCTAAGATGGGCACCAACTCAAAGGTGACCCTCATGAGGACAAGCAGGTGGATGTGTAATAATTATATAACAGTACTCATGTTCTTGGTTAAAAGCAAATAACTGCTATTTCATGTTAATCTAGGATAGATTATAGGATATTGAGAATTACAGCCCCCCCGCCCATTTATTCATTCATTCATTTTCAATCTGTTAGACATTCATTATGAGGCTGTTTTATATATTGTAACTGCAAAATCAGTCTTTTGTTGTAACAAACTGTTACAACAAAAAAGAAAATGTAGGTGTTCACCGATAACAGTGAACATAATGACTTTTGCATACATATATAGTGGCTCTGTTTCCTTCCCCGAATGACTGGCATTATCAGCCATCAACTTGTCTGTAAGACATGTTGAACAACAAATGCACCATCACAAGATATCTATATTTACTTTATGCACTGTTGTCCACTTAGTTAAAAATGAAACTCATGCTCATACTTCTCTTTAATAACGGAAACCAGAAATGAAGCATAGCCTACTCAATTTGTGTGTGTGATATGTGCATGTAATGTTGCATTTCATTATCAACAATCACTTTTAAGTCAATGTTTTTTTCTGACCAAAGGGTTGCCGGTCGCCAAACAAACGGGCTGAGAAGTCAAAGTCTCCTTCAGTTGAGGTGAGCGATCTCGCTGTTTCATATTGCAAAAACAATTCCACAATGCCCAGTGCCAACTGTGACATCATTACCTGGGCTCAGGCCAGTCTATTCTCTGAACTGAGTCGCTTTGAGGCCGAGTTGGACTCGGATATCATGGGTCTGGAAAAGAGACTGTCCCAGAAGAAACAGCAGCGTCGAGGCTGGGGTGAGGTACTGAGCACCCCCCTCTGCCCCAAATCCTCCTTGATTGTCTCAGCTGAAGACTCCTTGTTAGTCCCCAGAACGCAGCCCAATCCCTCCCATCTCGACTGTATGAGCCTCACCGCTTGCTACTGTTAGCTGTGTTTCTTGTGTGTCCTGACCTGGATGACAACTAAAGAATCACCTCCCTGTCTTGCACGTTGACTCATCCGTCTAATCATCTGCCTGCAGCATCCCTCCCTCCCCCTCACGCTCCCACCTCAGCAAAGTTAAATATGCCAGCTGTACTTGCATAGAGCACCCAAATTCACTGTTCTACAAAGATTCTCTGGAAATGATCCTGCCTATGTGCCGATGTCTTGCCCTTCCTGTTTCTGAATGTTTTTGAAATCATGAGTGGACTTGGTGAGCCAAGGAGCATAGGACCCAGTTGATTTCTCACTCCCCCTGGGGAGTGGTCAGCACCACTGTGTTGCCTGCATGTGTTGTTCAAAGAATGAATTCCTCCAAGTTGGGAGACAGTGGAGGCCGAAGGGAGCAAACTTTGAAAAGTGTATTCTGCTTCCAGGGGACCAGGGATCCAGTGACTGCTGCAAGAGCTGGAAACACAAACTACAGGTCTGTAACCACTTGGAAAAAACATAGCCGATAAAACTACAATGACTTTATTTTTAAATCGTGGTTGTGACAAAAGGAGCATTGTACGATTCCAATCTCATTCATTTACTTTGCCATTCACTTTGTTTTTGTTATGCGTTTTTCAGTCAACGATGAAATCATCCAACATCTAACATTTCAAACTGTTTGGTTTGCTTTAGGAATTAATCATTAGCTAACAATTGAAGTTGTGGATATAGCCTGTGTTTTCATTTTTAATTATCCCCAGTCAACTTGTGACAAGGAGTGTAAATAAATTCCAGAGTAATGCAAAGTCCAGGATCAATAACCACATAACACAACAATAAACCACTTCACTTTGAGCTTTTTTTTTTCTCCCTGCCTGACTTGTCATGACAAAGTGATTACACTTCAAGTCCCCCCACCCCCTCAAAATAACCTCAGCAGGTTTAAGTACAGTACATTTACTCCTTCAGACAGCATTCCACATTTCTAACCGTGCGTGTAATGCATTCTTGGAAGATTCTCGCTGTTATTTGCTCAGTTGGTTTCACTGGGATTGACCTTTTAAGGCTTTTGGTTCAGTGGCATTTTTTCAAGAGTCTGTTGCTAAGGATCTGTGGAATTACAGGACAAAGTGGCAAAATGTAGTCTGCTTTTTCGGCATCCTGTCACACTGACATGTTTAGTTGCTGCTAACACGAAGCGCGTGCTACTGTTTGTTTTCAGAGTAATTCAGAACTACTGATATCTTCATTCAAATAAGTTTCTCAGTGCTTAAAAATGATTGAATGAAGATGCTTAATCTTAATGAAATAAGCAACATGCGTGACAAAGTAATTAAGCAGGAAACTGTGTTGCCCTTCTTCTTCCAATTCATGACAGTTTACAAAGCGGCAGAGGTTGCAAAAGTACTCACACTCTGTACTTACTATTTTTAGAATAGAAGTGTCAAGAAGACTCTCATAAAAGTAGAAGTCCTGAATTAAATTTTTATTTCAAAAAAAAAATAAATAAAATAAAAATACTGACGGAAATGTGCAAAAGTAAACATTTTTGTCATACTGTTGTTAGATTGAGGGTGGCCCGGTGGTCCGGTGGTTAGTGCGTCAACCTCTCAGTGCAGAGGTCATGGGCTTGATCCCGGCTCCGGCCTTCCTGTGTGGAGTTTGCATGTTCTCCCCGGCTGGGCCTGCGTGGGTTTTCTCCGGGTACTCCGGTTTCCTCCCACATTCTAAAAACATGCATGGCAGGCTGATTGAATACTCTAAATTGTTTTTAGGTGTGAGTGTGATAGTTGTTCGTCTCTGTGTGCCCTGCGATTGGCTGGCAACCGGTTCAGGGTGTCCCCCGCCTACTGCCCGAAGGTGGCCTGGATAGGCTCCAGCACCCCCTGCGACCCTTGTGAGGATAAAGCGGATGGGAAAATGGAGGGATGATGGATAGTCAGATTGACTGTCAAATATATACAATACCCATTTTGATTAATTTGCACGTCAACACAAAAACTCCTCTGCACATAGTACTGTGTCATTCTTTTATTAACTTTCTAGCACGGAGAAGAAAAATGACAATGCGCTATCATAACGTGTTCCCATAGCTTTGCTAACTGTCGAACCAAAAATTTTAGAGTAGCTCATGGTAACAACTGAAAAACATAAACCTAACCTGCATGTGTGTTTATTTTGTTTTAGATTAGACTGCATTTTTGAATGTCCGTAGCTTGCGGGTTTTAGGCTGTAACAAAACATTTGTCAGAATCGTTCTTGAAGCCGACGTCATCAAACAATTCTCGTACTGTAAATCAGGCCAATTGGGGGAGGGGATAGTGAAGTAATGTACAGACAACCTGAATATGTAGTAAAGTAGGAGCACCTTTGCAAAAGGTTACTTCATATTATTCAATTCTTTTCAGTCAATCATCTGAGCCTAAGCAGCCCATTCGTCACTCCGTTGGCCCCTCATCGGTCTTCGCTCCTTCATTTGGTAAACAAAGTTCTTTCATGTCAATCTGAACAAGATGTTTCAATGTTTAATGAGCTGTTGATGCAAATCCAATTTGCTATTTTTTTTTTTTTTTTTAATCCAGGTCTGTTGCTTAAAGCATCGCTTCACACCACACGACTGTACACTCTCAATGAGCTCTCTAGTGACTCACTAGAATCGCCCAGTAATTTAATATGTGGTCACGTTTGTATTCCATTGCGTCGTTTGCCTGCTGCTGAGGCTAATCAAGTGTTCATGGTGGTTTTGTAAAACCAAAACAAACAAAAAAAAAAGTGAAGCTGAACTGAATAGTGTATGAGTGTGGAGGGAGGAAACCTTGGAAAAGAGGAAGGAGAGCCGAAAATACATGTTGGAGATTAGCTTTATCCCATTTGTTTTCCTGTTTTAGTTTTATGAGATCAGCGTAATTATTTAGGTTCAGTATGTTGTTGAATTTTTGAAGATCCCACTTGTTCTTTTATTAGAATACTGTACAGGAAACGGAGGGCTTTTTAGGCTCCTCTAATTCAGCTGTATGATCACTTTGCTCGGTAGATCGACTTTCCGCTTCCAATGACACGATGGACCGTTCGCCTAAGAAAGAAGAAAAGAAGGTAGATCCTTATGAAAAGCATCATTAAATGCGACTGCTTCAACTTTTGTCATCTTGTTTACATTGAAATATTAAGCAGTTTTTTTTTTTTTTTTGCTTTCAGATGAAAGCGGCTCGGGCCAAATTCAATTTCCAGGCTCAATCGCCAAAGTGAGTCCCCACATTGATCTGATTTTTTTTTTTTAAGTATAAAATTAATAAAGCACAACTGCACATAGAATTATCAACTAAGTCGGACAAAAGTATTCGATTTTTAGGTCTGCCGTTCTCGACAATCGACATATTGGTGTTGTAACCTATTGGGGCTCTTGCTTCATCTTGAATTCATTTCCCACACAGGGAGCTCACGCTGCATAGGGGCGACATTGTTTACATCCACAGGCAAGTAGACGCCAACTGGTTTGAAGGAGAACATCACGGTCGAGCGGGCATCTTCCCCACCACATATGTCGAGGTAAAAAGAACGCCATTGTGGCTCTGACGTCATGCAGTTTTTCGGTTTGTCTTTTCATGTACTTGAGCTGAGCTTTTGACGTTTCCCGTCAGATTCTTCCTCCATCTGAGAAACCAACGCCTATGAAGCCTCCCAGTGTGCAGGTGCTGGACTATGGTGAAGCAGTAGCACTGTATAATTTCAACGCTGACCTTCCAGTTGAGCTTCCCTTTCGAAAGGTGAGGACTGTATTCGTACTTAATGTAAACATTGACCATGTTGCTGTGTTTAATCTAGCATTAGACAACAGCTTGTGTTTGTTTGACAAATTCTGATGGAAAAAAATGACCGAAAATCCACCGCTGCGCAAATTTCGACTGCACTTTGGCTAGACTTGCTTAGGGCCTGGGCTTCATTCATTGAAAGCTTAGAGACAGGGGTGCCCATTACGTCAATCGCGATCGGCCGGTAGATCGCGGACTGGTCCCAAGTCGATCGCGAGTGTAGAGGAGAAAAAAACCAAACCATTTGTGTGTCTTTGTGCATGTTAATAATCTAGTTTTTGTGTTAGTGTACACTGCACCCTAATCAGTCTCATTTTCACAAAAAGTATTAACAAAATAAAATAAAGCAGGTCAATCTTTAACCTACGGTGGCGCGTGACCTGCGTCACCGGAAGTTGTTAGTGCTCAGCAGTCTGCAATCGCAGCTTGTGATTAGAGCTGTTGCGCTATATCTTTTATCGGTATCATTATTCTCATTCAGAGTTGTTTCGTGTACAATTCACCAAGGTCAAGGGCAAAGATTAAGAATCTAGAGGGCAGAGGGAAGCAGTTTAAAACGGTACCTGTGAGCGACGGTAATTAACAGGCTGCAAAAGTGCGTCGCATGCCTCCGTGTCAGGCTTTTGCTCATCATGGCGTGCGTGTGCGAGCGCGTGTGCGGTAACTGGTTGATCGCATGAGGTTGGTTGATCGAAAAGTCGATCTTTGGTCCAAAAATTTGGGCACCCCTGGCTTCGAACAATAGTTTGTAACATTTCTATATAAATGAGTAGCTGCATTCAAGCACTTGTCAAACAAAGTGTAGAATATTTGCAGAAAAAGGGAATTAGCAACTTTCTGATTCACATTATTTTTCCTCTCAAATATTTTGTTGTCTCTGCAATGGTATTAACTTGAATGTGAAGTTTGTCAAGTTAAGCAAAGAATGCTTAATTTGTAACTGTGTTCATTCTGTACCTTAGGGGGAAGTAATAAATATAACACGATGTGTTGATGACAAGTGGCTGGAGGGGAGGATCTCAGGGACAAACCGGAGTGGCATCTTCCCTGCCAGCTACGTTCAGGTCAACAAAATGCCCCGCACCAAATACTCCACGGACGACTACTCAACAAGCCCCATGTCTCCTATGTCCCCTGGTCCCCAGAGTCCAGGCCGTCCGCTCTACTCACCTTGCCTGCAGTCGCCATTGTCCCCTTTCAGCCCCACATGCGTCAGCCCCAAACGAGAGCACTCCCCCCAGCATCCACCTTCACCCCTGTCTTACGGTGCAGCAGCACAGTCGCACTCGCCCGTTCAGACATCGCTATCTAAAGAATCTGCCAATCTTTGGCCTCACAATTCCTCCAAACCTGCTTCACCTGCCAACCACAACACTCTCAGCTCTGCATCACCATCTGCTTCTGTAGCGAGATCTGCACATAGCACAGTGAACGCTCTCGGACACAATGATTTCTCACAGGTCTGCCCTCACTGCCTCCTGTGGAAACTCACTCTATGCCCACATCTGCCAAGATGTGCTTTTCTTTACTTTTGCGTACTTGACGGGAGATATTCATTCTTTTCTCTCTAGGGTGCTCTCTCCAATCCCAGGGCCAACTCATTTCCACCTGGACAAGTGCCAAGCACTGCTGGCTCCACAGCAGTGCAACGTAAACCGTAATACAGTACACGACCTAATTTCACCATAATAAAAGAATGAAGTGTTGTAACGGTACTGAATTTGTGATTTCATGTCCATTCAGATATAAGGCCGTCTACAACTACAAACCACAGAATGTAGATGAATTAGAACTCAAGGAAGGCGACGTTGTCCAAGTCATGGAGAAATGCGACGATGGCTGGTTTGTAGGTGAGTAATTGACTATGAGCTTCTGACACAATACCCAAAATGCAAACTTCTTCAGAATGCAATCAATAAATGACGTGTCAGTGCTGCCGTCTAGAGGACAAAATGAAACATCGCCGAATTGACTTCAGTCACTAGTGCCAATGAGTCTTGGCTTTACTTTTTCTGTTGTATAATGCACATTTTCAATATGTATGCTGCAGGTACGTCAGAAAGGACTCACGCTTTTGGGACTTTCCCCGGGAATTATGTGACACCAGTTTGACTTTTTGTTTGATCACATTCACATGGATTCACATTCCAAGAGCTCAACAACCACCCTCATCACCTACCTTAAGACGGGACATGCATGTTCACCGCTTTTCCATGGCCAGAGAAGAGAAGCCCTCACTTCCCTGCATGAGTGTGTTGCACCGGCTTTGTACTTGCATATAAACCCAACTTAAGAAAGACTGGATGCTGAAGACATGCAAAGAACGAATGATTTTGTCCCACAATTATTTGCAGCCGCAGCAAATGTGTTTTTCTTTCCAGAACCAGGACTGTTCATTTGAACGTCCTGCATTCAGCCACCACTACGCCACCACAAACCACTGAAATAATTTTGTACGAATTTCCAATATTTTGCGGAATCGATGACTAATATCTCCAAACATTTTCTGTCTCAGATTATTTTTCAGATCTTTGAAGAAGTTTGAAGATGCAACATGACTCTCTCTCTCTAGATTCCCATAAGTTAGAAAGGGACAATTTGTGCCATTCGGTTTTTCTCCATCCACAAGGCTTTTCAGAAAAGCAAAAAATAAAATCTCTTAGCACATGCACTGATTTCTTCCTATTGATTGTGAATGTCTTGTCTAGTTTTTATTTCATATTTAGAATTCCATGGCCAGAGAAGAGAAGCCCTCACTTCCCTGCATGAGTGTGTTGCACCGGCTTTGTACTTGCATATAAACCCAACTTAAGAAAGACTGGATGCTGAAGACATGCAAAGAACGAATGATTTTGTCCCACAATTATTTGCAGCCGCAGCAAATGTGTTTTTCTTTCCAGAACCAGGACTGTTCATTTGAACGTCCTGCATTCAGCCACCACTACGCCACCACAAACCACTGAAATAATTTTGTACGAATTTCCAATATTTTGCGGAATCGATGACTAATATCTCCAAACATTTTCTGTCTCAGATTATTTTTCAGATCTTTGAAGAAGTTTGAAGATGCAACATGACTCTCTCTCTCTAGATTCCCATAAGTTAGAAAGGGACAATTTGTGCCATTCGGTTTTTCTCCATCCACAAGGCTTTTCAGAAAAGCAAAAAATAAAATCTCTTAGCACATGCACTGATTTCTTCCTATTGATTGTGAATGTCTTGTCTCTTTTTTATTTCATATTTAGAATAAAAAAAAAAACCAACATGACTTTTGTATGTGTTTGGAAGAAGTCTGTCTCGTTTAACAGACAGTTTTAAAGTTGTCTGTCTTGCCACTAAAAATTTACACCGCACATTATTTGCATGCTGTTAGCCGCTCCTTAATGTCTTTCCTGCTTTGAACAATATAAAAGCATCCTTTGTGGTGGTGGTAGAATTATGGGTAATCTTGACAGCCTTTTTTTTTAAAGAAATTTTCTGACATTGTCACTGTAAAATTAATCAAGTAATCTGAAGATCAATGTACAGAGTGTAAGCTTTTATTAAAAATTACAAAGTGTAATATATATTTGCTTAAGAACTATTTGCTTTTCCAATGTATGGTATAGCAGGTATGTTAGTTTTTTTAAAGCTATTAAAAAGGCTGAGTGTTGCAAAATTACTCATGAGTTCTTATACATTTTACTATACACACCCATTCCAAAGTAAGGAAAACAACACTTTTTGAAAACACATTTTCTTCAACACACACACACACAAACAAATTGTGATGAGAAATAAATTTGGAATTTGGTACCTAATTGGCAACAGTCATATATTCAATTCCATTTTTAATTTATGTAGCTCCAATTCACCACAGAACCCATTTCATGACACTTGTGTAGAGCAGATCCAGACCTTTACACATGAAGATAACAACTAAACCCAACATGAGAAAGCACTAGGCGATGGGGGCAAGGAAAACATCTTTCTCAAGTCTAGAATAGACTTAATGACACATTGTGGGGAAGCTGCCTGTTACCACTGATTCGGGTTTTCAGAGTGATAGAAGGACAATGGACAGCGATAATGATAGGAGGTGGGTTGCAACTGAAATAAGGAAGCAGTGTGTACTGTATTGATTGCATTAGCATTGATGATGTTATGGTAAAGAGCAGTTTTAATTGTATTAGTATTGTAAAATTAGTTGCATTAATTGTAGCAGGCATGTTGCGGCTGTGCATGCTCGTCTGTTTCGTGTTTCAGTTCTCTTTCTACCACTTGTTCTCAAACAGCGATCTGAATGGCAAGGTGCACAACAGGAGTTCGATCAATGAACATTTCCAAAGATGTCAACTTCTCACTTTCCGTGACTCTTCCGGTCTCTTTGTATCTCTGTTGCAACATGCTGATGACATTGTGACTAAGCTCAGTTGCCACTTTTTTTCTGAGAACATCCTGTTTGAAGCCTCGCAATGGCAAGTTATTGTTGTTTGTTATGAGTGGTCTTTATCTCATTATGTGAAAATTTGAGGACTGTTTAAAAAAACAAAACAAACTATTTTGTATTGAACCAGGAAATTTATCGGTGGATACATGAATCAAACACCTGTTTTGATTTTTGCCAATGCATAAAAGTACTAAAACACTGAACAGGTAGATAAGTGCATTGAAAAGTTTGGAGAGGGGCAAATCAAGTTCACTATAAAAGGTTACTGAAAGGTTGTGCAGTATTCCCCAACCTTTATTGTGCCAAAGAACCCATTTTACTGAAATAGTGATGATCTTGTGCCAATTTACTCACAAATTTACGGACTGTGAAATCTAGGACCACACAGCTGATGTACTCGCAGGAAGCCATGACATATTCTGTTGTATGAATGGCAGATGCATCCACAGGTTTATTATACTGTATTAACGACATCATATGTACTTAAAGGAAGACAAAGTAGCTGAGGCTCTTCAGTCGCTTTATTTCCCCGAACGGTAACAGGACACACAATTACTCAAGAGTTGCTATCGCCCACAACTCACAGCCAGTTTCTCCGCACATGAGTATTGACTCATCTAGCTCTGACAGTATGTCCACTATGCCCTTTCATCTGAGATATTCCTTTGTTCCTTTGTCAGTCATCATCAGAGACGTCATAGACACACTTATAACAAAGCAAATGAAGAGCACCAACTATTTACAAGGAGCGCTACAAGGCATGCTGGGAAGTACGCTGTCTCACAGTCACCAAAATCTCTTCCGTCATGTAATGGAGAATTATTGTGTCTGTCATTATATGGCGTTGACCTAAGGTTTATTTGTAATTGATACATTAATGATTTTCTGACAAATTAAATTGGATAATTGATGAAGAGCACCCTGGTCGTGAATCAATTGGTAGTACAATTGTAGATTCATCCTAAAATTACACCCAAATATCGCGAACCTTTTATGAGTCTTTTAAACTACACCGATAGAATTCTGAATAAAAAGTATGGATAAAAAAAAAAATACAAGCACAGTCTCTCACTTGAATACATTATTCTAAAACAATTGGTTCATAGAGGAAAAATCAGAAATATTTCATATGGCACTTGACAATGACCAATACGACTGTGTCATGATTATTCAATCATTTTTACTGGATGTGATGCAGTAAAAACAAATTTCCTTCCTTGAGAACGCTTCCCAAGCAAACCGCGCCTGTGAGCGTCGTATGCCAATCTTCCAATTAGATGACGTCCAGGAAGTGACTTAGCAAGGAAGCACGCGCGCGTTTCTCTTGTCCGTCAGCAGGTGGCGTAAGGTCGCTGAAAGCAGACGTGGCGGTTTTGTGGGCGAAATGGCTCAATTAACGTCACCGGGGCGACACCCTGGTCTCCTCCCGCCCCTGCGGTGTGACACGCCCCGGGTTGCTGCAGTTGACAAAGCCTTTATTTTGGTCGGAGCACATGGCAGTGAGAGCTCATCCCCGTTTGAGAGAACGCCGGGCGAGCAGCCACAGGTGGAGTTCGATTGACGCTTCCGAGTACTGTCTTGTACAACTTCCGTTACAGCTGCTCTTTACGCCAGCTTTACGCCTCCTAAATTCCTTTTGTCAAACAGACTTGCTTATTGACGCAAATAGACTTCAGGTGGAGACGACGACCCACGGCACTGAAACGCAGCACTTCATATAGGTGAGTAAACTTTTCCTGAACCTCCCCAACATTAAACACCATCGTTGGACCTGAAGTATTTATTACAACTTGCCATTCGCTTCATCTTTGATCGCAACGCGTTGTGTTCAGAATGTTTGCTGTCATTGTTAATCTTCAAGTGTTGACTCAGCTCATGAAGGAGGGTGTCATTTTACAGAATATTGACACGAGACATGACGATTTGTGAACAAGGAAGTCTTCTTGCGTAAATGGCTTCAATTTATTGGAATAATAAAACACCTCTGCCCCCGCAAGGTGCACCAGCCTCCACTTGTCGAGCTTCCAAAGATGAGTACCGAGGCTACCTGTGCACACTAGGCGGTCAAAATGATTTGTGGAGGGCCTGGAGTTTGGACCAGGTGCTGGATTTATATATGGCAGTATTTGACACTTTCACCACTTAACTGCGACATTGTCTCCTCACCCTATAATACTGGTGGTGAGAGCTCTCAAATAGCAGGCTTCTTCCTGCTTCTCTTTCTCTTTCATGACAAAAAAAAAGTGTCTAGACATGACTGCACCTCAGCAGCTCAGGTTTGGGAATTAACAATCCTGGTGTTACTTTGCCACTGGTGAATAATCACTCTCCAAAACTGCAAAAAAGAGACAGGGTGTTGTGGCTTTTATCTGGGTGGAACTTACATTCTATCAGGAAGTCAGTTTTATCAGTACATATTTGAGTGATCAAAGTTTCTTCCTGTCTCTCGGTGTTTTTTTTTTTTTCTTGCACGTCACATGTTTTTTCCCAGAAACAACACATCGGTGGTAATGCCAATGTCAAATATGTTTCCACCGCTTCAAAGAGCTTTTTACCCACCCAGCATCCAACATGACTGAATGGACCGAGTGTCCCCTTTGCTGCGAGATCATTCGAGAGGTTTCATGTATTGAACAAAGTGAGATGGGATGGTATGTGCAGAGATTGCTGAACAGTTCAGTGCAGCGCATTTGCTGCGCGAAGAGTGGAAACACAGGGGAAGTAGGGGCAAATCAGTGGAGCCAAGGCGTGTCATTTTCTGATTAAAACTAGATTGGTAGGAGAGCTCCAGGCCAAACGATAATTGTAATATTGTGGCATCTTGTAGCATGCTTTCCCTGTAGAAGGGCGTAGCCCGCACAATTCACAGGTATGTCACTGACTGTGATTACTCTGGATAACACATGAGCCATAGTATAAACATGTGACAAACACCTCACTCAACACCCCCTCAGACTTGATTTGTTATTGTTTGATATTTTCCGATCTCCCTGGCGACTGCAGCTAAATATGACCAAAGGGGTGTGATGAATGAATAAAATGAACGTTATTTCACACAATCCAGGGAGAGGCTTGTGGTTGCATTCCAATTGTTTTATTCAGTGGGTGTGTAGTTGTCGGTAGGTTTCGACCTGTCGGAGCGCAGCGCGCCACACTGCACCGCTGTCAAAGCCCGGGCGGGCCTCTCAGTTGAGTATGAAGCATCTGTTATGTTAATCAGCCATGCTTTTGGGGGGTTATTCTGACCCAGTGGATTTTTGTGCAAACATAAAGACAAACACCCTCATTCAGGGAAAAGGTGTAAGTGTTGATGTACATGTCTGTGTTTTGGCTGCCTTGCATTTAAATGTGCAAAGTATATTATACAGATGTCTGTCTGCCCAGTCACTCAAAAACTCTCGGCGTGTCTACTTTCCTCAGTATCAACCTGCAACATTTTTGTGGTGTACAGTTCATCTTGTAGTGTTTATAACAAATAACTTTCTTATTTTCCAAATTAGGTTATTTGATTGCATTTGAGTTCTTTGAAAGGGGGTGGGGGGGAGATTACACCAAGATGAGACCGGCTTCGTGAAGAGACACAGCGCAGGGCTCCTACGAATTGCACAGCTACATTCAGCCTAATGGAGAATCTGTTAACACCAGCTCACTTATTTATTGCTAGTATTTTGGGGGGGACAGTTTACAGACACACGTTTGGTCACTGTAAATGTGTGAGATACAAATCAAAGTTAATGACCCTGAAGAATGCAGTTTTTATTATGCCTACCCTTCTTGGCCATTGCATACTCATCTACTGACTTGTGGTAGCAAGTTTCACTCACTCTGCACCCATTACACGTTCCACCAAATGCGAGTTAAGTGTTGTTTCTGTTGGCACGAGCCAAAATGACTTCCAAGTATTTCCTATCAAGAGTCAAATCTTAATTTTCAGCCTCCTCCATTTTTCTATCTGCCGTGAAATAGTTGACTCCAAGCAATGCGTGTAGGCTAACGGATCGAAATTTGTGATTTTATATGAACAGACTGCTCTCAAATTCAGCATTGTCACCAAGATGCAAATTTTTTTTTGCAAGACAAAAGTTGTATTTGTCGAACCCTGAAGGCTCTGCATGTTGGAGCAGCAACTTGAAATTTTGCATTGGCCCGCTGGTCTCCCTTACACCTCCTTCTCATGTTTTACCTTGAAGGGAAAAGCCCTCATAATTGTGTCAGAACAAATTTACACATAGCAAGTGTGAATTCATTTGACTGAAATTCTACTTCTTTGCAAGTGAGAATGTGCCCGCGAAATAAATAGAGCAAAGTGACGACCTGTGCAGCATCTATTTGCTCATGTTCTTTACACACCGTAGCAACGTAATAGTTCAACATCTGTGCGAAATAAATAATACCTAATGGAAAATACTTTAATCATATACTGTATCTAACATAGAGGAGCACGTTGGTGGACTGCTTAGTACGTCCACCTCACAGTGCAGAGGTCCAAGGTTCGACTCTGTGCTCTAACCTTGTGTGGAGTTTGCATGTTCTCCCTGCGCCTGTGTGGCTTTTCTCCGGGTACTCCGGTTTCCTCCGACGTTCCGAAAAACACGCGTGGTAGGTTAATGCATCACTCTAAATTGTCCCTAGGTGTGATTGTGAGTGCACCCAGTTCAGGGTGTACCCCGCTTACTGTCCAAAGACAGCTGGGATAGACTCCAGCATGCCAGCGACCTTTGTGAGTTCAAATTCAAGTCAACTTTATTGTCAAATGTGCTCTATGTTCAACATACAGCACAGATGACATTTCTTTCCTCTCAACCACAGGATAGAGAGGAGCCGCTGCGGGTACCCGCGCCGTCATCAACAGAACAGTTAACATAAAATGACAAAATAATACAACAAAACACATAAGACACAGACAGTCGTGCAATCTTAACCACTTTTCTGCATACACTTTGTTGTTTGAAGCAGTTATAAATGAAAGAGGGTAGAATCAAAGAGGAACATGACTAGATAATGGTCATAATGAATTCATTTATATGACTGTCGATCGATGCATGTGAATTTGGAGGTTTAAGAACAGCTATTTTGGCCTTGAAGTTCTTCAAAACAGCCGCATCTTTCTACCCCATTTGCATCGTCCACAGTGCGGCTCAGCTGATGCTGAACAGTGAGCCAAGTGATGATTTCATGACAAGAATTCCTCCTATTGTTTGAATGTGTTGTATTGTGTCTAAAGTGGTGTGGCAGCAAAAGCTAGAGGTCACCAGAACACAAGTCACCTTTTATGGAGATGCCTTTTGTATGACTGAACCAATAGTGTGAGAGAGCCGGATAAATCCAACAGTCCAGCACTTTGCCACCTGCAAGTGCAACTTGAACCTGATCAGTGGCCAGTTCCCCTCAGTGCAGTCATGGGTTTGTGTTTTTTCCTTCTCTCCTGTGTAACAGCTCTTAATTTGAGAACATGAACCAATTGTTTTTTTTTACAACGCCACTAAACCACCAAAATATGGTTATAAAACTGGAATACATATTTTCCCACAGAAAGAGGGGTGGGGGGATTTGATTCCCCCTAAAATCACAAAACAGAAAATAATTATTGAATTTAAAAAAAAAAGTGGTGCATAGCCTTGATTTCGGGGCTCCGCCTTTTTTAGAGGAAACGTGTTTAAATCAAGGGGCCACTCGGAGTGTAGCCTGCTGCCAGTTGCCCATCACTGCTCCAAGCTTTTTATGATTGATATTTCCCCCACATCCCAGATTCTCTGCAGCTTTAAATTATTAGCTTTAAATTATACACTATTCATCTTCTGAAGCTTTAATAGTATTTATGTATGACATGTCTGTAATTATTGGCTTTCTTTTTGTTCCTGGAGGTCCTGGGTAAAAATAATTCTTTATTATCTAACACATGGTTAACATGTATGTATTACTACGGCTCTATTGCTGTGGATCACTCTGAATGTTAATTTGTGACATGCTTCTGTAGTAATTGGTTTATGCTTTTGTAGGTCCCGTCTACAAATTGTAAATATACAATAATTGCCATTATTTGACATCAAGACAAAAGCGCAACTCTTTTTAAGCTAAAATACACTGTGTGTCTTTTCACAATTTAAAACAGTTCCAATGTGTCTATGATGTCCGTTTGGGTGCAGCAAATGCGGCAAGGTTTTACTTGGCCCTCGTGATATTTTTGTACTGCTTCAATAGTTATGCATACTAAGTACAATTTTATGAAAACTGAAATACTGTAGATCAACTGGGTACACATTTAGCTGTAATGTTGGGCCAAGATGGCTGTATAAATTAAAAACTATTGAAGTGCATTATGTTTTTGCTTGGCAAAACTTGATTTTTTGCAGAGTTGTGCCTATCCACAAACTTTGGCATATTGGTAAACTGTATATGATAAGTTAAAAAAAACCCAACTGTGGCATGCTTTCTTCAAAATACCACAGGGATTAAGAATTTGAAATACAGTGATCCCTCGCTTATCGCGGTGAATGGGGACCAGAACCCCCTGTGAAGTAGGTAATCCCCCGATGGATGTACAGGTATATCTACATGTGTATGAGTATATATAAAATTTATAAGGCCAAATTTAATGGTTTACATGCATGTAGAAGTAAATGTTTGTAGTAATTAACATTACTTAATGCTCTCTCTCTCTCTCTCTCTCTCTCTCTCTCTCTATGTATATATACACATATGTATATG